GGGGGGGTGCTGATAAGGCTTTCACAAGAACTTCCAGAAAAACAAGGCGTTTTGCACGGGAGTTGCAGTAAGACCCCGTCACCGTATTTATATTTGTCAGCTGGGAAAATGACCAACTGCAGCTCTGAATTCCCAGGATGGCAAAGGAGCACGCTCGATGCCCCCAGCCGATAGTGTCGCCAGAGCTGTTTTCGAAGGAACAGGCAAGATTTGCAGGGACCTTTGTGATCAGATGCTATTTTGGGAAGGTTTAAAAATACCGCCCTTGCTGGAATGGAGCACAGCAATAACAACCCTGCAGTATTTCACGTTTCGGCAGCAGCCTTCGTTCCAAGGCGGCTGGCAGAGCCGGAGACCAGGCCTGCATCCTGCGTGCTGGGACCCGCCCGCACGCGGGGCAGCTGGAGAGAGGGTCCCCCGGCCCACGCGGGCTGCACGGTCCTGACACCGCTCTGCATCGCTGGGGCGACGGCGACTCCCGCGAAGCGCCGGCCGACGCTAGCGCTGGGTAAGTTTTCCTGCTCTGCTCCCTGCCCTCCGACTCTTTGGGAAGCCCCCAGGCTGCTTTGAGATGCTCCAGCTTAATTCTGACAGTAGCATCTCGTTGCTACAGCAACAGGTACTCTCCAGATCCCCATCTGCTTTGAAGGAAAGCAGCAGGGCCTAGTGGCTAGAGCACGGAGGCTGGGGCTGGGTGCAGCTTCCCGGGGCTTAGTGCCCCTGCCGGTAAGCAGCATCGGGCCTGCGAGCTTCAGTTTTGCTTGATGACTTTCTGGAAAATAAAACGGCCTCCGCTGACCTCCAGCAAAACGCCTTCGAGAAGGAGCAGGGGGGCTGGAAACCCGGTGTCCGCGCCCCTCCCGAGGCCCCTGGGAAGATGCGGCGGTTGATTTACTCTGCGCAGAGGCTGGTCCCTGCCCCTGGGGACTTGCAAGCCTGCATCTCGCACCGCTGCTCGCTTGCCCTGGGGGCTCTTCCAGCAAGTGCCCCCTGCTCCCCAGCTCGCTCCCTGCTGAGCCGTGCAGGCCGTTCTCCGGCTCTGGCTTGCAGAGCAGAGGGCTGGGCTAGTGGCTAGAGCGGGGGCCGCAGCTCAGGCCATCAGGGGCTGTGCTGGGCACCCAAAGGCCCCCGGGGAGCCGCAGGCGGGGAGCCCTGCGGGGGCCGGGTTCGTTGCTTGCTGGTGTTCAGCGAGGAAAGCCCTCGGCAGGGATGGGAAACCAGGGCCAGCCGAGCCCGAGAGAGGCAGCAGCTTTCCTTACAAGGAGTTTGGCTGGGGCTCAAGTGGCTAAAGTTGCAGGGAGTCAGAGGTTTTTTCCTTCCCTCCCTGCCTCATTCATTCAAGCGCAGGGCTGGAGCAGGCAGTCGTGGGAGCCGTCGCCGAGATCCCAGTGACTCGCTCGCCCCGTCTGCGCCCGGCGGGTGGCAGCTGCTGGGGACGCGGCGCGTGGGTGCCCCCCTGGACCGGCTCCGCGGAGACGTGGGTGCGTGTGCGTGCGTGCAGAGGCAGCCCTGGCTCCGTGGATACAAGCAAGAAAGTCTTCCCAGAAACTTCATCCTTCTGGGCATCCCTCATGACAACCCGGCTCTGGCTTTAAGGTGAGACTTCTTGTTCCCCTCCTCTTTCCCCTGGCACGGGGTGGGCACTGTGGGGTGCATGGGAGGGGGGGAAGGGGTCTCCCAGACTTCTCCGGGCGCAGCCAGATGCCTTGCCCGGGGCGCGGGGGGGAGGATGGCAAGGTGAGCAGTGGGCGCGGGGAGCGGGACTTTTCCTGGTGTGCTTCGAGGAGGCCGGGGGAGGTTTTGCAGGCTGCGCTTTGCGGAGCTCAGGCTTACTGAAGATAAGTCATTTGGCCCTGAGCGAGGGGGGGTGTCTCTGCGCTGATGAGGGGAGGCAGGCACCCTGCTCCCAGCCCCACGCCGCGGTGCTGGGCCCGGGGAGAAGCAGCTGGGCAGGGTGAGCCGGCTGCGGGCTTGCAAGTGGGGCTGGAGAGGAGCTGGTGCCAGGGACCTGGGAGGGCATGAGAGCAAGTGGAGGAGGCGCCCTCCGGCCCCTGCCCTTGGAGCCTGCCGTCCTGGCTCCACGTCTCGGCGCCGACACCCGGGCTGTGCTTCGGGGCCCCTCCCCGGGAGGGCAGGGCGGTGCGGCCCCCGCGCCTCGCTGCCACGCTCTCCTCTTGCTCTCCCTGAAAGGCAGGAGAATGTCTTCGATGTTCGGCAAACCCCGGGCTGCCCCCAGCGCCGCCGACCGCCTGCCCCACAGCCTGGTGCCCGAGTGCAACGTGGCGATCCTGGGATGCCGAGGAGCTGGCAAGTCGGGTGAGGGGAAGAGAGTGAGAGCGGGGGCAAGGGTGCCAGCAGTGACTTGGGGGGTGGGGGGGGGAACACACCCGTTTCACATCTGTTTTGGGCAGTGTTGCCTGGGGTTCGGGGTCTGGGCTTTGATTCTCAGTCCTGCCGTCGGCCTGGTGACTGGCCTTGCCCTCCCCGAGTAACTCTGTCCGCCCCCGACCACCGGGCCGAGCTCTGCGGGTGGAGAGCTCTGAGCGAGGCGCTGTCTCGATCGCACAGCTGTTGCTGCGAACCGAGCGACCGGGTTCAAATCCTCCCTCCCCGTTGCACTGCGAATGGGCGCCGCGATCCCAGCACTGTAGACTGGCTCTGCGGGTCTCGGGTGTCGCACGATCCTGCCCAGAGCCCAGGCACCAGATGCCTCTAGCACCATAGGTCACCTTTGCAAACGGGCTGAGTGGGTGAGACCTGCATCCAGGAAATGGGTCTATCTTGGCATCGTTCTCTCCGTCCTCATGGAGGGAAGTTGCGGACGAGGCTCCAGCCAGCAAACTGCTTATGCGTGCACTGAGCCTTAAGCATGGGGAATGTCCAAATGAAAGCCCTGGGACCGCTCCTGCCTCTGCGGTTAAGCCCACGCTTCAGCAACACGCTGACGTGCCTTGCAGCTGCATCCGTGGCTCAAAACCCCTTCGATTCTGTTGGCTGTCAGAAGTATTACCATAGTACTCTGTAGTTACCATAGACTAGCTAGCATAGATGCTGTGCCCTAAAGAGGAACATCAATAGGACTTTCCTAAAGTTCCCCTAAAGAGGAAAGTCAATTATACTGGACTAGCTATATAGCAGCGCCTAGCTCCCATGTTCATACAACTCTTCCCCTTCAAGACACTACACCAGAGCAAGGCAGGCAGGATGGGGAATGAATGAAAGGTGAAGGTGCGGTGGGAATGGCTGGGCCCAGGAATGACGTTTCCTCGTGGAGGCCGTTAAGCCATCGTGAGTAATATCTGATTCTCGCTGCCTCCCCACCGACACCCGGAGACCTGCCCGTGCATCTGACTTTCATTCGTTCCCTTTGCAGGCTGCTGCCAGGGACCCGATTCCTGCATAAACCCGGTGCTCCCTGCAGGCCACTTGATGCTTTCTAAAAGGTCTCTTAAGTTCCTGGGGGAAAATCTTGTATCGTTGTGGGTGCCCTAAAGTGAATACAACCCTGAACTAAACCTGGCCCATATACGACTGGTTCTGCTCTCCTGATGCGGGCCTGGCTACTCTTCGCAGTGACAGCACCTGCAGGCCCTAATAAAGACCCCAATCGAATTGTGCTAGGCGCTGTACAAATAGTGACAGCACCTTCCCAACAGCTCCCAATTGCAATCAGCTCACGAGAAGTGCAGAATACAAGATGGTAGTGCTAATAGTGTCAGTGGCTCCCAGCAGCTCAACGCCAAGAGGTGACTCTAGGTCCTCTGAGCCCAAGGCCAGGGCACTTTGCAGGGAGCTGCGCTGTCTGTGTGTGCTCATGGCAATGCTATGTGGTGTAAGTGTCAGCATGCACATGGGACAGCTGTATTACTCAGGAGTGAAACAGTTATGAAGCTGATCTCCATAGAAAGCCTATAAACACTTAATACTGCCTCCCAGCATCGAGGCCACATTGCAGGAAAAGTGTTCAGAGAGTTTTCAATGGCTTTACTGGGGGTGTTGTTTGTGCAGCTTCACCTATAAAGGCAGAGGCCTCTTTACTCTGAGTCGGACTGTACCGGCCATTGAAGGTGTGGAGAAAATAGCAAATATATTCTGAAAGCCTCTAGGAAAGGTCAGACATTTAACACCGAAGGCTAAGGTAAGACGCAAATGCATCCTGTTCCTTGGTGGTGGAAAGTTGCCATATCCTTCCATGAAACTTCAGATCCTAAGTGGTTTTCTGAGGGATGCTGGCTGAGCAGCGCCTCTGATTGGGATAAGGCTGCGGGACACACAGAGGCATGGAGGACACAGATAATAGACCCTGCTTAGCAAGAGATGTGAGCATGTATTTGACTGTCAGCCCCGGACTCTGTGCTGGAGACTGTGCCCTTCAAAGGCCGCGGTGAACCTGCCATGGTGGTCAGTGATGCAGGATCAGGCGGTCAGCACTTAACTCACCGTTTATTATGTGCACAAGTGCTTTGCTTTCTGTCCTAGCCCCGGCTAAGCGAGGCAGGGGGCTGGGATAGGAAAGGTTGCACTCTTGTAACAGGGCTTTGACTCCAGTGACAATTGATCAGCGTAGCCTGGAGGGCACAAAGAAAGAGGAGACGTGCCTGGGGAAAGCTGGTTTAAGAGCCCCAGCCAATGTTCAGAGACTTGGAAGGGCAGAAATAGCAGCCAGATAGGGACAACTCATCATTTGGAAAGCACCGGCTCCCACGGTCCAGCCATCTCTTTCTTCCTTTGTCTCCACGTAACACCACATCATCCTATTATTTCTAATGAATGATTTTGCACCGCAGTGGGTGCCGTGAGGGTGCAAGGCTGGCTCTCGCGCTGCCAAGGCTTCCAGGCTCCTTGCTGCAGAACTGGGCACCAAAGCCACGGCGCGGCCCGGGCCCCCAGGGCTTTCTGGCTCCCTGCATGTTGTTGGGGAGCGGGATGGGAAGGGACTGGGCTCTCCTGTTCCTGCTCATTATGGGCACGTGGTTGTAACCAGTCCTTTTGGGAACGCGCGCGGCGGGACATGTGGCGCTGGCTGGGGAGTCTGGATGAAATGCCCTGTCATTAGCTAACGCTGATTTGTGGAAACTGGAACTTGCAGGAAAATGAACTGGTTCTCACTGAATTTTCTTCAGGCCAGGATGACTCTTGGTGTGGGAATGGCCCACCTGCCCATAACAGCCACGGGCGAGGGCTGCCCCCGGGAGCTGGGCAGTGCCGGGATTGAACCTGGCTCCCTGCAGGGAGTGCTAGCAGCTCTTCTGGGCTTTGTTCCCACCCCACAATAAAGGCCAAAAAGTCCCAGTTTCATTCTGAAAGCCCGTGTTGAAACTCAACTTTTCTCACCTATCATAACCCTTGTTTACTGGCCTTAATTGCAATACCTATATCAGCTGAAGGAACAGCATCTATCAAGGTCAGTGCAGGCCCTGTCATAGAGTAATTGGTTTCAGGCTTATTTAGCGTGACCTACCTCTACATCTCCAGGCTCAGAGATGACATGTTCAAACCTTGACAGCATGGAGTCAAACCCTTCCCAGTCCCGGCTCTTGGGCCGTTGCCGGTACAGGTTAGCTCGGGATTGCTAGCCTGCAGGCTAGCAATGGCACTGACTCCTCACTTAGCAATCAGCACACAGCCAGGGTGCTGCAGTGCTAATCACCTGCTCCAGTACAAGCAAACGCTGCACACTTCAGTCTAGGGGTTTGCATCTTCAAAACACTTTGCAGGCCTGCGCTAATTAAGCCTGGTTGGTAGATAATGTTATTACAGAGAAACTGGGGCAAAAGCAAGCTGGATGACTTTTCCAAGACCATGGAAAGAGAGTCACTGTCAGAGCTGGGCTGAGAAGGGGAGTTCCTGGCTCCCAGCCCTGTGTTCAGTCCTCCTCTCTCAGGATCCCTATGAGAACTGTGATTAGTTCAGTCTAATCTTTTGGCCTTGAAAGTGTCCTCTGTGTCAGCAAAGATGAAATTAGGGTTCAGGAAGATAAAAGCACGTATATCCTGCATACAAGGTTGTCTCTCTCCAGACTGAAACAGAGGTAAAAGAGGTGGAAGCAAGAAGGGTCTAAAGATGCTTTAATTTTGCAGGTAGAGCTAAACGGGCCACCGAACTGCTCTGTGATGTAGAACGGGTCTGTTTCCCTTGGCACAAAACTGCAACAACTCCTGGCTACCACCGAGCGATGGGGGCGAGTTGTGTGTAGGTACAAACACAATGGAGACTTAACACCTCTTTTCGCCTTTTGCAGCGCTAACGGTGAAGTTTCTGACCAAGAGGTTTATAAGTGAATACGATCCTAATTTGGGTAAGTCCTTTAGTTCTTTTCCCCTGGTTTTCATCTGTATACCGTTTCCTGCCACCCTTGTCTGCCTGCCCCGTTATTGGTATAGTTTCAAACCAAGCAGCCAGTTCCTGCAGCTTTCTTTACCCAGCTGGTACCAAGTTGGCGCTCTGCTCTGGCGTATGAGAAAACATTTTTCGTTTAAGTGGAGAGCAATTCTTCTGTCGGCCTAGGTTTCCATGAATGTGGCATTTAAGGAACCATAATTATGCTTCTTTGAAAATAGCTGAAGAGTTGGAAAATATGAACCCCTTGACACAAATTGACCTGCAAAATATTGATTTTGTTTTTTATCCTTAAATCTCATTTGCTATGCGCTTCACATCTGTGTTGCCAAAATATGATCAGATGTCACCATCTGAAAGCCTTTCAACCTGAGGGCTGTGCTGGGGATGTTAGTTGCTGTTTTATTGCATTTGTAAGCGCTTGTAGAAGTTGTGACAAGCCCAAGCTTTTATTTTTTATGTCTAAGGAACTTTCCTCCTCGTTCTTTCCAGCTATGGCTGCTTCAGCCTTGCAAGTTGAGCTGGGTCTTGCACTTGAGCCTTCATTAATATTATTCTTCGCTGATGTTAAGAGTGATTCCAGCTGTGCTTCTGCAACAGCAGCTAGTCTCAGGCTGAAACAGTGGGCATGATTCTCCCCTTTGTGCTCCAGTGTAATGGGGAAAAACTCACCTGCCCAGGGGTGGGCAAAATGTGGCCAGATCTGGCCTGCCAAGGGATTTTGTACAGTCCGCAGTCTTGGCCCCCTGCCTGGCCCAGGTATGTGTGGCTGGTCCTGCCGCCCCCGGGCATGTGACAGGGCTGGAGTGGCACGGCAGCTGGACCTGCTTCCTGGCAGCCCTGGCGATGGTGGCTCCTTCCAGCTGCTGCTGCCAATCTCTGCTACCGCTGCTGGATCTGGCCCTGCTGCCCGGGCCCCCTGGCCCATCTGCCTGCACCCACTGCTGGGGGTGCTGGGCAGAGTGGGTGGGTGGTGTCTCCATGCAGACCAGCTCAGGACCCGCACAGCGAGGCCAGGCAGATGGGATGGGGCTGCAGGTGGGCAGGGAGCTGGACAGATGGACAGGGCCAGGATTGGGGTTGGGGTCGGGATTGCGGGGCAGTGACAGTATGGGGCCAGGGCACAGCCACAATCTGCTGCCCGCACGTCCCTGTGACAGGTGCCAGTTCTGCAGGCAGGGCACCCGTCCTACTCCCCTGACACCCATCCTACTCCTAAGGCCGCTCCCTGCCCACCCACAGCCCCATCCCACCCCCCGACCGAGTGGGGGCAGAGCTTAGGGAGTTTGGGTGAGTTTTCACGTGTTGACCCGGCCCGCCTCCCTCCGTGGCCCTCCAGCCCAAATAATTGCCTGATCTAGCCCCTTGGTTGTGAGGCAGTAGCAGGTAACACGGGTTATTCTCATTAGGCATCTCATGATTAGCTCGATCCTTGTGTGGAGCAGTTGTGGTGGTGCTACACCTTGCCTGGTCTTCCTCCGAGCAGAAAGCCCTGCTTGGTGCCCAGGTGCCCGCGCAGTTCTTTCATGCAATGGGCCCTCAGCTCCCATAGACTAGCGGCTCCGAAGCCAGGCCGTCTTCCTGCTGAAGTCGATGGCAAAACGCCCGCTTGAGCTGAGCGGTCTCAAGTCACGTCAAATCAGTGGAGCTTGGAGTCCCACGAGAGAGCCGCATGCAAGATTCACAGCACGCAAGTGAGAGGTGGGAACTGTCTATTCCCGTGGGGACTTTAGAAGAGAAAAGGGGGCTGCAGCAGCGTAAGATCTTGCCGTGCGGTTCATATTAATTTGACCTTCCCATTGAATACGATTGAGCCCCTGTTGCCACGAAGCATTTACCGAGGCAAACTATACACAGGATGCCAGGGTCTCCTTAGATGAGCACAAAGGGCAATATTTTATTCTGCCGATTCTGCAGCTAAGCCTAAGTGTGATCCTGTTCCACCCTGCTCAAGTCCCTGAGAAAATGTTAATATGGACGGTGGGTGGATCTTCCTCCTCCTTGCTGCTTTTTTTGTTCCAGCCTGAAGGGTAAGAGGATGGTGTCTTACAGAGGTGGATGCACTCATGGATTTTCAAGTACCTGAACTGGGTGGAATAGGATCACATATAGGTGCCTAAGTTGACTTAAACACCTTGTCGGTGGAATAGGATCTTGCCCCAAGGATCCTCTCTTGGTTAAGAAGGATCTGATCCTTTTTTGGATAAGAAAAAGGAAATGGCTTCCTGTTCTCAGCTTGGCTCGGCTTGTCATTTCGCACCGTGTAGTTCCTTTACTACCGGTTCCCTCCGCGCAATCCATCTGGTGTCTTGTTTTATGAGTCACATAACTGCACTCCAACATGAGAAAATACATCACAGGAACATGGATGGACCAAGAAGGACGAGAGAACGGCAATCGTAGCTCTTGTCCCAGGGGGCTGATGAGAATGAAAACAAAACCAGCCCTGACAGACACCAGAGGGGGAGAAATAAAAGGAAACCCTCCTCCGTGGGGTCACAGTTGCATTTATTTAAAAATGACAGAACTGAAATATGAGTGTGCAGGAGCATGGGATGCTTGTGCTCTGTGTTGGTGGCTGGGAAGACGGGGCTGTGGGGAGGGAGGGAGTTGAGAGGGTGAATGTAAAGTGAGTCTAGATTTGCTCCATACCTCCCGGGGGCTGGGGGACGGGGGTCACAAGGGCGATTCTTCCTGCGCTCCGTACTTAGTCCTTGCACAGAGATGTTTTCCACTGACATCAGCGGTGGGCGCTTTGCCAGAGCAAAGAGTGTAGGATTTTCCTTCCTGTTTTTCTTGCATCCGGATGCGTGTGCTCCTTTATAAAGGGGTATAATCCCCCCCTGCCCAGAAAGTCAGCACCAGGACTGTGGACTGCTCAAGTCCCTCCATCCCACCCTGACACCCTGGTAAGAATAAAGGAAAAAAGGCTGTAGGAACGTGCTGGGAGTGCCCGCTCCTACATGCTGGAACGATCCTCCACGGGGAGAACAGAGGCAAATGGACATCTGTTTTTGTTTATTCCTGATCTGTCCCCATCCATCAGTGAATCGGGTCTGAGGAACAGCTTAAGTTTCCGCACCTGCCTGGTACCATGGAAAGGTTTATGGTTGAGCGGTGCAGTGATCTGCAGGAGTAAGGGGCTGAAGAGACGCTCCTGAAGGCAATAGCAAAGAAAATTCCTGGCTCAGTTAAACCAATGGCCCATCTAGCCCCTATCCTGCCTCTGGGAGTAGCCAGCACCGTTTGCTTCAAGGGAAGATGCATGACCCCTGCAACAGGTGGCTTCTAGGGTCAGAAGGGACCTGAACGGATCATCAAGTCTGACCCCCTCCCCTGGGCAGGAACGAGTGCTGGCATCATAATACCCCAGCTAGATGTCTATCCAACCTCCTCTTGAAGACCCCCAAGGTAGGGGAGAGCACCACCTCCCTTGGGAGCCCGTTCCAAAGACCAGGTGGTGATGAGAGAACCTTTCCCCTGGGGGATGTTTCCTCCTGACCCCCATTCATTAGAGGCTGGCTGGTGCCTTGAAACATGAGCATTTATGTCCCGTGTTTCATTTTTCCTTTTATCTCTGCTGCACATGAAAAATCTCTTGGAATCCGGCAAGTATATTCTGTTCCCTTAACAGTCATTCCCCATCCCATGCATGCACGTTGGGTTGTTGTTGCAGAGCGGACTGAATCACGAGCTTGGAATTATTCAAAACCTCATTTGATCCTCCCCACTCCCCCGCAGCCAGGAGGAGATGAACGTTAGAGACTGGTATAAGGGGGTGGAGAAGAATCTGATCAACTTCTGCAGCTAGAAATTGTCCACAGAAAGATGTGCCGTGACGCGCGGTGCTCCACTCAGTGGGGCTCAGACATCTCCATTACAACTGATGGAGCATGCTACCTCCCAAATCTGTTGGTCAGTGCAGGACGGCCCTCTGACCTAGCACCATTTTGGGTTGAACCAGGAACATGACCCTAAAGAAACACAACTGTCATAAAGAATTCAGTACTGAACAAAATGCTTCCAAATGTTTCCTGATGTGCTGTAGCTACGTTGGAGGGTCTCTGAGGCCAGCCTTGGCTTCAGTAGGCTTTGGAACAAGCCCTCCAGGCTCATTGTTTTGCTCCTAGCATAAATCCAAAGACAGACGTTGGTTTTAATGGGCTACCCCAGCTGCAAAGAGCCAGCCTAGAACAACCCCGCGGTCGTGACAGCTGGGAAGGGAATTTCTCTACCATTACCACAAAGCCAGGAGAAGAAATTTGGGGCCAGAGCCAATTGCCCGGGTCCCTTGGAATGGCTCTGCTCATGAATGCGGGCACAGCACAGGGCGCTCCTTCCCCTCCTCGTCACGGGAGGAGTTGTACCCACTTGCACTAGGCCTGAATTTGGCTCCGGCACTTGGAAGCCTTACGCATTGTGAACTCAGCCCTACTCCAAAGCCCATGAAATTCAATGGAAAGGCAGAGGCCAGCGGCAGCTTTTAATCACTTAAAGAAACAAAGGCTCCCAATCTTTTCATTTCCTTTCTTTTCCAGGGCCTGTTGAAGTCAATGGGAAGATCCTCATTGGCTTGTGAGGCTTTGGGATCAGGCTGTGAGTGCAATTAAGCGCCGAGCGTGTTCAAAACGCCAGACACAATTGCAAACTAGCGTTCTGGAACGGTGTTCACCTTGGCAGGCAAACTTTATCCCCGCAGGAAAAAAAAAAAAGAGCAACAGATGCAGAAGTCTGGAGATAGCTGTATTTTGCACTGACTGCACTTGAATGCCCTGGGCATTTTTTCCACCGAGTCTCTGTTTGAGTAATTAACAACGATTTTTATAGGCCCAAATCCAGCACACAGTGAAGAATTGTAAATGATTGATTGTGGACATTAGCAAGATATGGACGCTTTCCAAGGACTGACTAAAGAGCCAATAACTCAGCAATCAGCCTCTGGAAAAAGAAATCTTTCCTTCAGGTCTTGTGGAGAAATGAGTTAGTAGAGCATGGAGACGAGGTTGAAACCTTCCCGTGTTTTAAAGCTTCTCAAAAATACGAATCTAAAAAGTTTTGGTGGGGAGTGGCAGACTATTGATATAATGTCCTAATCGTTGCTTAGCAAGTATTTTTTCCCCTTTCCTCCCATTGCTCAAGAAAACAGGCAGCCTCTGCAACACAATGGAAAACAGCACAGTGCTGCTGCTTGCTCCTGCTATAGCATCATTTACTTGCTTTTGTAGATCAGGCCACTTTTGAACATACCAGTGCTGGAACTGGCTTGTCTTATCCCCTTTCAGAAGATGCCCGGATGCATTTGGGCAATAGGTCTGCACTAAAATACACACCGCTTTATCCCTCTTGGCTGAAGGTTTGGGAGAGACTGCTCTGCACTCACTGCTAGGTTTGTCCATTGTTACTCCTGCTTAACGCCATGGAAGGGAAGGCCCTGGTGTTTTGCCAGGGTTCAAATGTTGTAAAGCAACAGTGAATCGGGCTCATTAGCTTTCCCATTCCTCTGTAAGGACAGCAAATCAATCTTGCAAGGGGCTGGCCACTCAGCATGCCCTGTGCTGAATTGGATCAGCATTGCTCAACAGTGTGTCATAGTGTCTGTATTGCTGGTAGCTAAAGGAGATTCATGGATAGGGGCTTGTGTGTTAGGAGCAAGAGGACTTGCATTTTTCTCTACGCATTTCAGAGTGGTGGTGGCACGCAGCCTCCGATGAACCAAACGTGGATTCATGAGAGCTTGTGCTTTATGTATATACCTTAGTTAGTCTACAAAGGCACAGATGTACCCTGCCTTATGCTGCAGAGGGACATGCTGAAGGGAGTGTAGTAGCCACATAGGGTGTTATATGTAGGAGCCACATCAGGGTGTTATTCATTTTCCAGAGGGAGATGAAAAAGCAAGGTGACCAAGGTTGGAAAGGGGCTGGGGCCTCAACCTTGACTACACTTGAGCGAGGCTTGAATTGATGCCTTCAAGGCTGCAGCAAGACACTTGAGTCACTCTGCAAGGTGAGCTCGAGGGAATGGGTGAGCGCTGCAGACGGGGGCAGCAAGACAGCATCCTCCTCCCACTGCCCCCTCCCTTCCTTGAGCCGAATCTTTCGTTCTCTTCCCTCCTGTTGATTGCTCTGTTTCTTATTTGCCGTGGTTGTACCTTGGGCTCTGCAGCTTCTTCTCTGGGCCGATGGGGGCACAGAAACCACGTGCCTTCGCTCTGATTTTTCAAACCCGAACTTCTCAAGGTAATTGAGACGTGAACTCCTCACCCAGGTGAAGTCAGATCAAAGTGCCTCTGCTTTAGCAGCAGCCCCTGTGCCAGCTATGTGTCATTCCTCTCCTAATGAGCAACAGATGAACCTCACCAAATGAATTTATAGAGGAATTCACTTATTTGCCAAGTGAGAACACATTCATTCGGAAATGGGTTAACCTCTTTCCCATGCCTGTCTCACTCATTTATGGCAGGGCATATTCTGATGAGGTTTTAACAGCAAAACATGACCTATAGGTTCCCCTCCTACTGTATGCTTGTTTGTTAAACTGAATTTAAGAGAGATGTTGAAATGGTGATGATTGAAGTGTAAACCTCGTTTCCAGGGCAGGAAATGATGCGCTGTATTTGCTTTCGAGAAAGGGGATTAGGCTTCTGGTTTAAAAGGGCGATTGCTTAGCAGAAGGATCCAGCTGAAAGAGGATGTTTCCTGATCACACCGCATGGGGCAGGCAGGGGCCTGCGGCTGGCTCCGGGTTCCTCCGGGCTCTGGGATGAGCATCCTGGAGGTGAGCTGCTTGTCCTCCGGCAGGATCTACCTGTAGGAAGACACCAGGAAGTGTCCCTGGCACCACAGGATCCAACCTTGGGCTCTTTACAGTGACCGTGTCAGTAATTCTCACTCCAGCTGAAGGTCTTGGGGGTCCCTTGGCTAATATTTGGGATGAAGCTCAGCGTTCAGCACTTTCCCCTTCGCTGGGCATGTGGCACGAGGTAGGGAAGCAGTCCCCTTCAGCTGTGCTCATTGTGTGTTGCAGAGGACACCTACACCTCAGAAGAAATCGTGGACCAGCAGCCGGTGCTGTTAAAAGTGATGGACACGGCTGACCAGGTAACGAGAGTGACTGCGCCAGGCGCTCGGCGGGGGGTGTTGTCTGGGCCTTTAGAAAATCTGGCGAGACCCTGCTCCCCCCAGGGCACGTCTGGTGGCAGCTGGGGGAGCGCTTGCTCCGTCTGGTCTCTGGGATTTCCAAAGCAAGCCGAGAGCTACCCCAAATTGAAAAACTGTCAAAATTTTCAACAACTGCAAAGCCTGAAATAAAACTCATTTCAGACCGAAGGAAAAGCTCCAAATGAAGCATCCCATTGCACCCTGTGGGGTTCCTATTCCTAATGCTTTCTGATATTTAGAGGAGAGTGGCAGACATTGCTAAAAGCAGAGTTGGCGGGCAGAAAAAAAATCAAAGGGTTTCTTTCTGCAAATGCCAAAATAAAACACATTCGTTTTGGGCTTTTTTGCGGGGCAGGTTTGGGTTTTTTAGTTACCAAAATGATGTGCTGAGATCAACATGTGGCACAGGTGGGAGTCATGTGCGTTGCACGGTTGGCCCCCTGTGAGTGCGCTATAGCCGTGACGCACGCGCACAGCTGCAGAGCGCTTTTAAAGTGGCCGGTCACCCGACAAACGAGCTCTCATCAAAGGAGGGATCAGATGAAGGCGCTCCACTTCGGTGTGCCTTCAGGAACTTGTGCAGGCAGGTTCAATCCCCTCTCCTGACCCAACAGGTGAATGTCTGTTGGGTTGTGGGGTGGAGGTGATGCTTTAACTCATGGCGCTTTATGTATTCCCCCCCCGACACACACACCCACACACACCCGATGCATCTCTGCATGTTTATTCCTGGAATATTGCTACCGACATCAACACACGGCAATGCCATTCCTTACCATGTGCGGACCAAATAGAAGCAGTACCACCATTGAAAATTTGGGCACGTCCCTCTTGGCAGAGCGCTGCGTGCCCCGGTTTGAAAACCACTGGTGCAGAGGAAGTGACCAGTGAAAGAAAGTTTTGCAATGATGCTGGAGCAAGAATCAGTCCCCTTGATCCATGCCTCTGTATTCCTGATGACAGAAGTGTGCGTGCATTTTTTTGAGACGCCCTGTTTTAGGGTTTATGCTGCTGCCCATTGCTCCTACCCAAGCTTTGTCCCTGTAAAATCAGCAGCAATAATGAAGCACCTACAGACTTTGTGCAACCTGATGCTTGGCAGCGGCTTGTATGTCTTGCTCCGTGTCCATTATGAAGTCTTTGACGAGATTTTCAAAGAGGCCCAACACAATGAGTGCCCTAAACCCCCTGTCATGTGTTAGGAGCCAAGCACCGCACCCTTTTGGGCTCCTTTGAAAAGATCTAGCTTGAAAAGACAACAGTATCGGTGGTGCTTGGTCCACCCTGAGTGGGCTGAGCCTTGGGTACGCGCTGATCTCAGTGGTCTAGTTGTTCAGCCTAGAGAGGCGCGTGCTGCCTCCAGGGCTGTGGAGTTGCAAGTTCAAACCTGGGTGTGTGCCCAGGCTCCCGGGTCCAGGAGTTTTGGGGGTTGGACTTGATGGTCTGCTCAGGTCCCTTCTGACCCTCCCAACTACGAAACAATTACATCAGGGTTAACTCCAGAATCATGCCATGGAGCAGCTCCTCTTTTACGGCCCCTGCTTCCCATGGGCTGCATGCCAGTCTAGTCCACTCTCCCTGATTATTCCCTGCTGACCGATTCCTGGGGACTTTGTGTCATCTCGGTTTCCTGCAGTGTGACACGAATGGTGAATGTTTTGCTAATAGCATGGCCCTCGATCTGGCTGAGATCAGCTGCTAATATCTGTGCGGGCATAGGAGTAAGACTGTCCTACAGACCTGGTATAAACCAGGGCTTGCTCCTTCCCTGCTGTTTGCAAGCCAGGAAAAGGGGGGGTGTTCAGTACATAGGGAGGGGGGCCAAGATGGCCCTAGTCATTGCAGATTTGGTCCCTTAGACTTAAATCCCAAGCTCAGCCTATGGCACAGTGAACTGAAGTGGAGCTGTGTCTGGGGACAGCGGGAAGCAGATTTAGTTCAACTCCTCTGCTCACATCACATCACGCCTCTCTTCTGGGGGCTCCCCCTTCCTCAAGCCCACCTCCTGCAGAGACTCCCACTGGCTTCAGTGGGCTCTGAATTAGGCCCCTTAGGGATCTCCAACCCAAAGGGCTTCTCATCAGCTCTCCCTTTCCAGGCCACAGAAAGAAGTCCTTTTAGTTGCAAAGGAAAAACCCTGCAGATTAAACTGACCAGAGGCTGCCTGAGCAGCTCCTCTTTCAGGACCCCTGGCAGAGTGAAAATCTGACACCGATGCTATGTAGCGCCTGATTGCTAAGGTACAGGACAGCACTATCTGCTTAACATCACTGATTTGCTGTACAATGAACCTTTTGATGCTAAGCCAAGTCCAAAGTCAAACAGCCTTTTGAAATGAGCTTAGTTTTGAAACAAAGCCCGCAAGGAGTGAAAGCCCCCCAGATGGACTGTGATAGTGGCACCAGCCCATGATAATGCTGTCCTCTGTTACCGCGGTAGGATGCACCACTCAACTGCGAGCGCTATCTGCACTGGGCCAACGTGTTCCTGGTCGTCTACAGCATTGACAACAAAAAGAGCTTTGAAGGTTGCCATCAGTACCTGGATATCATTTCCCTTCACTCGAAAGGCATTCAGCACAATTATCCTGTCCTTCTGCTGGGAAACAAGTTAGATATGGAGCAATACAGGTAACCGTCCTTGATGCATGCCGAATGGCGATATTGTTTAATGCAGACTATCCCATGAAGATGCTCTTTGTGCTGGTATTAATTCTTTGGTTTATTGTGTGTGTTGTTTCTGATGCTGGAAAAAGGTGGATGCTTGCTAGCCCTGGTGTTCTGTATTTGTATCATATCATATATCATATCATATCATATCGTTGAATATATAATATTAATATATGCAATCTAAGCAGCAAGCTTCCCCTGAGGTTACTCAGGGAACCTACATGTCATATGTTTTGGGGCACGGAGAAATGAAATACTTGGGTTGACCCAAAAGGTTTCATTTCAAGCCAAGGTGAAATGTTTTGTTTTCAAATATTTGACCCCTCTCCTCCCCTCCCTTTTGGGAAAAATGTAATTTTGAAACAAAGCCATTGTTTTCAAGCAAAAAGCCAATCCACCTCCTATAATGCCCATCCATTTGAGAGGAATCCAATCCAGTCTAATCGCTTTGGCAAAATGAACCTCCTCGATGTGTCCACGTGTTTCCCTCTCCCCCATAAGTTTTTCTCAACCAAAATAATTGGCCTAACTTCACTAATAATTTTGGTCCTGTGGAAATAGCATTTGTCAGTGAAATTACTATTTGCCCCTAAATTTTGCGAGGCTCCACTGTCAGCCCTGGCCTGGAGGGCTTAGGATAGTTTGGATACCAGCCGGTCCTGGATCTCCGTGCTGAAGCAGGGGGACATTACAGTACCAGTAGTGATTTTTTGCAATGTTAACGCCCTCTGGGAGGACTTACTCTACGACAAGCAGGCTCCAGTCCGCCCGGCCCTGTGCCCCTCCATATAGACACATGCACCCATCCCTCGACTGGGCTGCAGTAATGACACGAGGGTATTTTCTGCTCTGTGCAGCTGTCGCTGCTGTATTGTCTCTCTCCTTTTGACCTTCCCTTGCCAAGTGGCAGCCGGTGTTACATTGTCCATGGTAAGCACGTGCTCGCGGGCTCTGCTCTGAGCCCTGTTATTTATTCTGTATTGCTGGGAGGCGACATATCAATACAAATCCTCGTATCCTATCTTCACATCCTTCACAGCCATAGACATGCCGTGGGGACGCTTGTTCTGACTGCCTGATGTTGCCTCTTCTGCTTAAGTTTTTTTTCTTCTTTTTCCCCTAATATCCATATGCTCTGGGAGGTCGCTGCTAATTTTAGCTGGGCTTTTTAGGCTGCATCGTAACAGAATCCGATCATCCCCTTGAGGTATTTGAGCCTGGGCCAGTTCCTTGCTGTGCTCTGCGCGTCTCTTGTGTCCCTTTTTCTCTGGCTGTTTCCGTGCATGGTGCTGACTGTCTCTGGTGTGTTTGCTTGGCTTGTCGTGCTGCTTTGGCCCGAGAGTTTGCTCACATGGGAGTCCTGCTTCTTGAAATCCCAGAGCTCTCCGTGCGCATCCTGACCCGGGGCCCGTGCTCCACCGAGAGGCAGCGCCGCGGGCACCGAGTTCAGATCTTTCCTCTTGGGTGGAGTAAAGATGAGGATGCCGCGGGATTTCTCTGAAATGCGAAGAACGTGCCACCCCCATCCCACTTCCAAACC